CCTTGGCCCGACCACAACTGCAAAGAGGATCGAGGTGCATCTCCACGCTGAGCGGAACTTTTTTTTGAGTCCCATACTCACAATTGCTTGCGTGCTTCCATGACCGGCATCGCTCCACGAAGGATGGGAGAAGCTGTTTCCAGGCCTTCATCTCGTCTCCATAGACGCCCACATTGAAAATATTGCCCTCTCGGACTAAATTTCCGAACTCCGCGCCGACTTTCGACATGAGCGCAGGCGTGAGGGGCAGAACGTATGCGTCGCAGACCAAGGTGTGGGCGGACAAATCAAAGCGGACGGCGCTGATGAATATGATGGTGTCGCACTCGGCGGAAGGCTTGTCCCGTAGAGCAAACACCCTTCGCAACGGTCCGCCACTGATTCCTGATGCCTGATGAAAGATTGTATGTATTGTGTCTTTGACCAATCCAAGGGGATCGTTTTCATGCGTTTTCGTCAACTTGCGTTCGCGAGCTGAAAGCATCCAAGCAAGGTGGGGTTTGAGTCATTCTTTTATATCCGAGGCCGCGGTATCGAGTATAGGTGAGCGAGACAAGTTGAGACGGTGTAAACTCCAGAGTGCAAAGGAAAGGTCCTCCCCGATGACTTGGAAAGGGTTGAGCTTCATCCCATCAGAGCGAAACGGACCAGATATTGGAACAACGACCTGATACCGCAATCAATGGCAGGAAGTCGGTTGGACATCTTGTGGGCTTACCTCGATGTACAGAGATTTTCTGGCGAGACGAAGGACATTTTGACTGCCCACCACCGGGAAAGGAAAGGCAATGTCCTGAATTTTGTTCCCGATGGTAAGCTGCATCACGCAAGCGGATTTCTGTGATATTCCTGGCTTGCATCCCGAACTAAACAGCTGCTTTGCTCGCTGGTTTTCAATGGCGATTCGGAAATTCAGGCGAGACACGAGCTCGCACTCTTCGTCCATTTCGACTAGCAACGGACCTTCAGTTCCGAGTTGAAACATGGCAGTGGTATGTTGATCGGTGTTGGCAGCTGGTGGCTGCCAGCCCGGGGCAGCTGTTGGCAACGGATGTTCAGGTAGAACATAAACATGATCTTTGTCCATCAGTTTCGCACTAAACAAACGAAACTCGGAGCCAAATTTTTGAGTGAGCGCCCACGAGACACCTGCTGTGCTTCGCATGGCAAACGAAACCTCTATTTTGTCGACAGAATCCACGGTCAAGAGGCTCGCCACAACAACGAATGATGTGACTAGAGGTGAAGTACCCTTCTGGCCAAGGGGGTCCTCGTTGAATAACACACTCGGGCGTGCTGGAGTGCCAGTTGAAATTACGGTACCGAACGCAGCGTGCACAGATGAAAAGATATCGAGCGTTCTTCTACCGGTGCCTCTGAATTCGCACTGTAAGAGGGGAGTCGGAACGGACTCGCAGATTTGGTCAAGCATGGCGAGGCTTTGTCGAGGCACAACAATAATGATGCGAACAAGAGAAGGCACCCGATCCCAGCTAGCCATTGGGCCCACTTTTGGCACACTGACATTGAGGAAGGAAGCTGAGTGAACTCCGTGAAAATGTGCGCGTGCATAAAAGTCGTGTCTGCTAAGATGACCCAATGATTCCTCTTGTTCTTGGAGAAGTGTGACGAAACGTTCCATCGTTTCCAACCACCGTGACTGGGGAATTTCGAGCCTCTCCCGAACCAATTTCAGAAACAGGACAAAAGTCTCTCGTGTCTCCGAAATGAGATTTGAGATCGCCAGTGCCCTACGCATCCTCTCGGGACTCCGATCAGCAGCTTGCCGCGCGAAATAACTGGGTTCCTCCTTTTCGAAAAGCTGCTGGTACATGTCGTAGAGCCGGGTACCCAGCTGGTGAGAATCGAAAATGGGCAGCGGAGGTCTCGGCCCACTGCGGGGACCAAAGTTCTGCGCAGATGACGGAGACTTCCAGGTCGTTACTCGATGAAATTGACCTGCCTCTGATGTCTTCTGCATGGCGTCGTGCATGATCAGTTCATGTACATTAGACCGGGAGGAAAATCCCGCGAGGTAGTCGACGGGGCAAATGCCCACAAGAAGTCCGAAGGTTGAAAGATCAGTTTTGAGAGATTCGGCAAATTCCTTTGTGGCGTCGCGGTCATGGAAAAGGAGGGACTCTGTGTAGAGTACAAAATGTTGCGGAGGGGCTGGTAACAATGGAACAGCAGCGATGATGACATTCAAACTCCCGATGTGATCGTCGAGGTTCGAAGTATCGATGACATCGAAAGCGGTGTGAGCCCCCCCGCCCAAATATTCGTGTTGATCCAAAGTGACGAGTTGCGTACTCCATTTTGCAACAGGGATCCCTGTTGTAAGAACTCCCGTGGTTGCATAAGTACGTAGGGAGTGGCAAACAACAGTCGCTTCGCCCGTGAAAAAGCGGATGACCGGAGTTTTCTGTTTGCTGATGGATGCGTGAAATGAGGAGCACCACATGGAGAACTCTGTCTGGACTGCAGCCACAATCTCGGTGACGGATATGTCTTTTCTGCTGTTCCCCAGCGTCGACGCTGGATGAAAGGAAACGACGGGGTTTGTGCCGTAATGAATGGAGCAGCCCTCTCCACCGAGGGAGTACACAAACAACGGGTTGAGCAGTGTACTGTTGCGAGCCTCTGTAGGACTCGCAAAATTACCACCATCGTTCCAGTATTCCAGGAACTGCTGGCCACAAAGCTCCATTGCCTTCGTCATTAGAGGACCGGCCGAACGCGCAGAACCGGCCATGGCCGTTGGTATGTTTTGCCTAGCGAGCTTGGAACGTTCGGTAAATTCGGCATGAATGCCCTCTATTCGCTGGGACGGGAGATCGTGCATCGTTGCATAAAGAGACCAGTGACGTCGAAGTTCGGTCAAGGTGAACTCGGTGCACATCCTGATGAAATGTGAATACACGGAGGAGCGCCACTGCTTCATAGTCGAAGAGATGTCGATGAGTTTTTTGCAGTGCGACACCAAGACCGCCAAGGAGGTCTCATCGAGCCGCATATGGAAGAAAATATTCCATATGACAGCTGGTGCGGTTTGGTTATCGGCGACCAGTGTAAGAAGAATGACATTTCGAGCTGAATGGTGATGAATGCTTGAAACAAAATGTGATCGCAAAGTGTACCTAGTATAGCCGGATCGATATCACAGCAAGTGAAGTCGAGGCTGCGATCCACTGTAATATGTCAGGGAATGAAAATACGGAGTCAGTAAGACGCACCATGTTCGTGCTCGCAAAATATAGTGTACAAAATGTTTCTTGGGTCACCACATCCAAGCATAAGGATCGTGGCATCCGTCTCGGGGGCAAGGTCTCTGGTTAGAGAGACAGCTGAAGTATTGCCGATGGGGTAGAAAAGATAACGGCCAGGCCAAAACAGCGGTAGCGCCATCGCCGACTCGTCGAGGTGTGGAAGATGTAGACAAGGTCGGTGTGAATAGAATTAACGTGTGATAGTTCCATAAGCCAGCCGCCAATGCCGTGGCCAAAAATATCGGCGAGGAAGGCAGTGGTGTCAACGGAGTCGATTCGAGCGTAGTTTCAATTCGGACTCCCCTCAAAAAAAGCTAGAACTCGCCGAAACGTGATAGTTGAGCGGAATAGGCGAGAATCTAAAACAAATGGTGAAACTGAAGCCACAGCAAGATGTCAAGCCGAGTTCGGAGCGCGTTCAACGATTATTGCAGAGTTGGGAAAGGATGGAACACCGTGCAAAAAAGGCTCCCTGAGAAAATGCGACGGTCACAACACTTTCCCGTGTGCAGGGCAAATGAGCAGGCGCGACAACAAGTTTGTGGGGTGGTGGTACGAAGTAAAGCGTGAACGGCCTAAATAGGAAATTACGCAGATCCACTGGCACACAACGACACGGCTTACAAACGGTCTTCTTGCACTCAACTCCAACCAAACTCGGAGCTGCTTCAAGCTGGAACTTTCCCGAACACATACGGCGTGTCTACACTTGAACTTGGAACGGATCTGGGGGGCCCTGAAGGGACGAAGGCGAGGTGCCCTGAGTGGCTCCTCTCTATGTTCACCTTGTTTTGTCTCCTTCCTCTGCCACAGGACACAACGAGAACGCCTGCTGGCATACCACGACTCCCGCGACCATCTCTGAAGTAATTTGTGCGTCTCCCATCTGCTCGCAACCAGCAGTACCTCTAGGCTCTCCCAGGCAGACCCTTCAAGGAATACGACCTTGTACCTCGGTATCGATATTGGACAGAACGTCCGAATGCCATCACCATCCGTCGTTTCGGCTACCCTCTCCACCCCTTTGCCGCCAACGTATTCGACTCAACTCTGCAGATGATTAGCCCAGTTGCTTATCCTCGTCTCGCTGGGGACCAATATAATTCCTGGACGGTCGAATGCTCGGCATGCCACGGTGTCATCGACATCGCGTCGCCTCCGACTCTGACGGCTCACATTCCGGGGACCCCTTACTTCTGGATCTCAATGCTGAACCTGCTTTTCCAGCTGCTCGTTTGGTTGCTTTACCGACAGCAAGTCTTGTCTGTGATGCCTAAATCGGTCGAACAGTGTCGCTGCGGGTAGTGTCTGGTCTCTGTTTATTTGCAGTGTTGATTTTCTTTTTCGTAATCCATTATCTTCCAACGAAATCGTGAGGTGCAAGAACTGCACGTTCAGTTGAAATCCAAATCAGCAGTGAGTTTGGTATCAATTCTCTCGGATTTGAGAGGCGAGTCTTCCCTTTTCAACATACTTGTATGTCATGGCCCACTTGGCTAAGTGGTTAAGGCATGGAAAAAAGAACAGAAGTCGCGTCTTGATATCAATTGTCTCGGAATTGAGACGTGAGTCTTCCTGTTTCAACATACTCGTATGTCGTCGCCCACTTGGCTAAGTGGTTAAGGCGTGGCAAAAAAAAAGAAGAACTTGCTCAGTGGAGTTCGGACCTACTTGGCATTGTCTCGGATTTGAGAGGCGATTCTTCCTGTTTCAACATACTCGTATGTCGTAGCCCACTTGGCTAAGTGGTTAAGGCGTGGCACTTGTATTTAATACGATATGCCAAGATCGCTCGTTCGATTCGGGTAGTGGGCACTTGTTTTTGTCCGTTCCACGATTTTTTCTGGGTACCGCTCGGTCAGATACACCGTACGCATCGTAACACAAGCTCACTGACCTCGTCGCCGGGGCGCTTCGCGCCCCGGCACCTGCCCCGGCCACGTCCACGTCCACGTCCACGTCCCATCCACCTTTCCATCGGTCACCACAATATCCAGTTTCGCCCCAGCGCAATTGACCAAATCCTAACGGCAAAAACAAGAATCCTGGAACCGCAAACAGCAGCAGCACACGAATTCAAAAAGTACTCGTTGGTGAGGCAGTAGAGTTCATGTGCCTCCGGATCTGATACAGCTCCGGAAGCTTGAGAGCAAGTCTAAACAGATTCCTTGCGAAGTAGTGCCAAGGTGTGGGCGGACGGCGGTTCAGCCCCAGGTCCAGCAGAAAGGCGGCCGAACATCAAAATAGAGACAGCCCGATATTGGTGGACACCCAGAATAGGCACAGACGGGACCTGACCGACGTTATCCCAGTGCGATACTTATACAAGGAGGAGTCGTTGCCTGAGGACGTCGGTCCTTCACGACTGAAGAATGTGTATAGTGCTTGCCCCCCGCTACACAGGCCTCACATTACTAAACCAAAACTCCTTCAAGAACACTGGGAGACAACAGCGTATGTCCCCGTTGGACGCGATGAGATCCAGGTAGCAAGAGCAAACATATTTACAAAGTTGCATTGATTAGGAGAGACGAAAGCAGTTTATGATTGCCAGGTTAGATAGCATCGTTCTCGACAAGCTTTCCACAGACAATGTACTTGCTAGAAAAGTGCTCGATCCAGCCTGGACAAAGGGAATGAGGCTGTCAGAGCTTAGGGAATACGTAAGAAACAGACCTCTCATGTTATCTCTGGTAAACAAACAAGCCATTAGCTGGGGAAACGGCGAGGAACAAAGGAGCCACATACATCTCGTCCTGCTGGAGGTCGGCGAGCTTATCAAGAGGCTGGTCGACCGGGGTCAGCATTTCTACATCGACCGGTTAGCTGGGCTGAGATACGGAACGAAAATTGTGGTACCCAGGTCAAAGGACTGTTTAGCCATGCCCCGGGATGCATCCCTCCCGGCAAAGTTTCCGTACATTCCATCTGTAGCCCATGAGGATAGGATTCGACAGAGCAACATGCAAGACACGAACTAGGTCCGTAGAAATTCCTCCCCGCAGTAACATCGAACACAATGCCATTGATAGCCAGCAGGATGCGCCCTCCATCCTTGCCCGAGAACGGCTCCAGAGTCTTGGCGGTGTACGTCTTGAACAAGACCGTGGGCGGGTGCGATTTGGGCATCCATGAGTAGCCCGCTTTGAACTCCCGGGGGACAGTAGCTGGCTTAGAGACACTTGGGTAGATAATGCGCTGCACAGAGTACAGGATAAAGAGGAACAGAGCCGTGTTCACGGGCGTCCCGAGCTGCAGTGTAAAGGCCATTAGAAAGCGCGTCACAGCCTGTGACCTCCCATTCACCGCCTCTTCCTCTTCCCCGCAACATCCATCGCCTATTTCTCCCTGGCACCACCGTATTCTCCGATGATAGTACTGAGTATGTGTCACCGTTGATCCCGAGCATTCGTCCTCATTTCCTCTAGATTCCCAAGACGGTAGCATAAGTAGCAGTGGTCAGAGTCAGACTTCTGAACAACTACCAGAGTATACCAGTATAATTTCTTCCGCCGCGGCCGTAATTTTCCTGCTGATCGGCGTCCTAGCTATGTAACCTCAAATCGGTCCCAACCCCCGCGCTATTCGCGTCTGCGAAGACCAAAGAATCCACTCAGCTACACTTTTACACCTCCTCCCTTGGCCATTGATTCAAACTCGATGCTATTGGTTCCGCCACGAGATGCGGAAGACCAGGGGGAATACCGAATAACGGTATCTCTGAACCTCAACCCCTTTGTTCCAATTTCGTACAGCACGTCGGTGCATCGCGTAGAGGGTGACCGAGAGCTGTTTATCGGGGACTTTGAGTACGTGATCTCCTTGCAAAGCAACCAGTGTGTTGTGTCTGACCGCTCCTTCTAGGCTTTCATTAAACCACCGTCGTGCCATTATAACTATTGGCGATATAACGACGCGCCTCTCAAATGTCCTGTTTAGCATAAACTCCTCTCCAGTTCGTGTTTGTCTCTTCCCTCTTGATTAGCACTTACATATGGGATAGAGACACTGGACTTGGCGGTGGGATGAGGTCGGGTTGCGGTGGGATTGCCGTACCACGCTCGAAGACGGGTCTCCTATGTGCATTGTACGTGCAGACTTCTTCCTGCGCACGCAGTCCTCATATTTATCTCAGTGCTATACGCTGGCTTCACCGGTGCAGCTGGCGTCGTTTGTGCCGCCGCCCCTCGACGCCCCTCCACCACTTCCAGAAGCCGTGCTTACGGTGTTCCCGGACGGACATGCCTGCTTCGACCATATCCTATTGTCTGCATTAATTATCCAACGCAAGCTCGGGCTCGAGTTCTAGGCACATACATGCTGTTTTCCGCGTACATCTTTGCATGCAATTGTCTTTCTACTGTCGATCGAAATGCGAGAAGCACTATCGAAATTCAAGGGAAACGGAGTGGAGTGGTCTTCATGGAGAAACGCAACTCGATCAGGTCGCTCCGTTCGTGACAATTAGATTCCGAGACGCCAAAGACTAATGGCGTTGCGGAATCTAATTGTCGATCAACTTGCCTACGGCCCTTTCGCCAAGGCAAGTCCATACATCATGTCCGAGAAACCACGGCTTACTTGACCTGCCTTATTATCACAGAGCTTTCGTGAACTTGGTCGTACAGAGAACCTGACAATACAATTGGTTCCACCACGGGCGGGTGGGCGGACAAGTGAGTGTACGACATCCACCGAGTCGGAGGCACAAGGAACGAGCCATCGTGACCGAGGAATGAACACACAATATCGGAGAGTCGCCGATGCGGACGAACAATAAAATGTGATCTCGAATAAGAAATGTAAGCCCAGCAGTCGCGTGGAATTCCACATCTAACGCCTTCTAGCGAGTCCCTGCTTCAAATCTACTACTTACCTCCAACTACCGAGAAAACGAAGTAACGCGACTCTCATTTGTGGTCGTAGATATTCCAAGATGATCCTGCATCTCGGTGCCATGCAATCTTTCGCGTGGCACCGGAATGTAGAATCATTCTCGAATCCGGGCGATATGAAGACAATTGGGAACCGGCCAGAATAGGCATTTTACAATTAGAGCGCGTCCCCGACGTGATGGCATCAACATTCCCTCTTTGCCCAAAACGGACAACGATGCACTATTATGTCCTTGGCCTGCAGGCACCGGGAGACTGAACCCGGATCACTCAGAGTAAGCGCCCCTACAAAAGCGATTCACAATGTGCATCCGGGTTATTGTACCACGAAACCTATAAATCGCGTCGGTGTTTACAACTCCACCAACTTGAACTTGGTCGCCACAGTTGCAAAGATCACCACATCGGTCTCTCCCCTTTCATTATCTATCCTACTCCCGACATGCAGCGCCCATCAGCTTCCAGACGCGCCGGACCGTCTAATTTCCAGCTCCCCCGGAGTCTTGTGCGGCCTTCGTTCACCGAGGTTTCGCGTGATGCCCTGCTCGCTGCGTCTCCAGATCTCGGCAATGTATCAGTCGAATTTATTCGCAAAAATCTGCTCGCAACCGCCCCTCAGTGAGTTCGATGATTCCCAATATTTTCCTCGGCGTTCTTATTACTTCACGAATAGAATGCTGGCCGGCACTTCAGCTCTCTCTCCATCCCACCTTCCGAGCGCACTTCCAAAGACAACCCTCCCCCCGTACATCACCGTGCCTCTCTTTCCCTCGCGGGACCATATACAGCCGACCTATCCGACTCATGCCCTCGCCATATCTGGTCCAGATGATATGCACCTCATCTTCCCGATCCACGCTCTGGTTCTCGCCGCCCATTGCTCCAAACTTCCCCGGCTCCCTCCCCCCGCACCACGTCCACGGGCGTCCGGGTCTATTCATCTTCCCGTCTTGCCCCTCGCCCTTCCGTCCGCACCAGCCTTCTCCATCCTGCACGCATTCATGTACTCCAAGCGCCTCGATGCCGTCCTGACCGCGCTCTTCCCGATACCCCCACACTTCCTCCGCGCCCTCACGCACAAAACCGTCCGCGCTGCGCTGCAGTCAGGCCCCGACCTCCACCACCTCTCTGCCCACCTTTGCGCCGCGTCTGCGGCGAATGTGCAAGTCTTGATGACGCACACCGCGCACGTCAAAGAGCTGTGGCAGGACATGGTCGCGCTGGGCATCGACGACGTCGCACTTTGGGACACCGTCGAGCTCGCCTACGAGATCGTCCTCGGCGCCCTCAACCTCGCCGTCATGGCAAAATAGCAACACTCGATGTGTGCATTGCTGCCTCACCGACGCTTGATGCGCGGTCTTTTTTCTTGTAATGGGATTTGTAGTACAGGGCCGTGTAATAAAAATACAACAATTAAATAAACCTCATTCAATCTCAGGTCGCAGACATGAAATCCCATGAATCACCGACTTTCCGCAGCCCCTTCATGATCCCCTTCGCGACCTTCTTCGCTCTGGGTGGCGCTTTCAGCTTCGACAGGGTTGATGTGGTCGGGCTGACTGGACCAGACGACCTCGAACTCGACGCCACAGCGAAAGATGGTAGCCGCGTAGTCGGTGTCTTCTTCGGAAGCCGCCGCGCAGACCGCGGCTTGCCCTTGTATTCCCCTTTGAGGCGCAGGATGGCGTCGCGATTCGCGCGCTCGAAAAACTCGCACGCGTCTAATAGCAGCTTGGCGTCGAGTGCCGTTGCGCGCGCGACGACTGGGCGACGCCGGTCAGCGCACATGTAACATAGCCATAATGAGAACATACCCTCTTCGTATGTGGCAGGTGATATCTGGTTATTGCCGATGATCTTGGCCTGCACGAGCTGGTTCAGCTCTTCGAGTCCCCAATAGTTTGACAAACTGAAATT